ATCTTCGTCTAAGAAAAGGTATAGTTCGCCCAACCCTCTTGTGTTCTAATACCTTTGATTGTAAAAAAAAGATAGAGTAGCTATGAACAAAGCCTAAATAAAAATTTCGATTTTTTTTTGAATATAATAATAAAAAGAAAAAGTCAGATATGTTGATGAAATATTTTTCATTTGAATAGAAAAATTCCCAGGCTCGCCTCCCGCACGATTTTGCTCATTGGGCGACTCATGTGATTCTTGCACTATTCGAACTCCCCTCAGTGCAAAATGCAACAATGAAAGCGGGAAATTTTTATTCCAATTTTGTAATCCACGAACAAAGTAGGTCTTTAGAATCGTAAATTTCAAATTTTCATGTGTCATATTATATTCTAGGAAAATTGACGTAGAGCCTTCGTCCTATCTGGCTTGCTCAGAAGGTGTCTATAGACAGCAGCAATGTTCTGACGATGGTCGATTGCATTTTAGCGCTACATTGTTGGATTGTATAGACCCGGCAATGTTCACTTTCCATGCTCAAGGGACATCAGGTAAATTTAGCATTGTTTTAATGAAGAAAGGTTTTATTTACTAAATCCAGGGTCCGGTAGAGTTGGTGATGTTTGCACTTTCAACACCGACTGCCTTAGTGGAATGTACTGTGCTGTAGGGCAATGTCGATGTTTGTCAACCTATATTGCTGTTGATGCTTATTGCTATGAAAGTAGGTCTCATTATGCGAAATACTCTTGCACAATTTTTTTCCACAACCAGCAAAATCCAGAGATTCCACCGTCGGAATCGGGCTGCTTCTATGATGTGCAGTGCTCTGCAGTATGGCCGGATGCTTATTGTAAAAGTGGGCAATGCCAATGTCCTAGTGAAGATATGGTTGCCGTTAAGACAAGGTCAAGATAAGTTTCTTATACAAAATTTTTGGGTTTAAGGATAAAAAAAAACGTGGAGATAGTAAATGAAAGGACAATTTTAGATTTACTAGATCAAATTTGAAATTATTCCAACTATTCTTACTGTTGATTCTACAATTACAATGAAGAAAATGTTTACTTACCAACAATATTGAACTCTGTCCAAAATTTTTTTTAAAATTAACGAATTTTGCAACATTTTTTTACCAAACCGAATGAAAGGGACGCGGCTCAGCCTTGCCCACGTCACACCCCTTTTTAGTCAATTTTTGTTCGCATGCCTCCTTCAAGGAAACGTGCCACCGCCACTGACATCTTTCTATGCTGATCCTTCCAGAGATGGAACGTTGTGTCTT